AGGCGAACTGCAGTCGTCAAGCGCACGCGTCAAGCGGTTTGGTTGTTTATCTCGTATTCTCTGGTTTGACTCCACCAAGGCATTATGCTGTTACTATTATTCGCATGACAACGACTTGTTGCCTGTTTCTTGCTTGGTAGCGTCAAGGCGCAACTGAATGAGTTCTTTATTCAAAGGAATCAGCTGTTTCTGAAATGAATCATTTAATTACAGCGGTTAAAAAAGTTTTCCAAAGTCCCCTTCACATATCGATGCTTCCACATGATCATCAGATTACTTTTGTTTTGTTCATTCAAGGCTCTGTAGGCACTCAGACTCTCCAAGACTTGTGGAAGATTTTGTTTAAAAATACAGTAATTTCTTGCCATAACTCCATAGAGTTACATGACCATATCTCGAACGGTGGAAAGACAGAGTTTTCTAGTTTTGATATTCAGTTAAATTTCAAAATTTTCCATGGCCTGAAACCAATGCATTATCACTCAAGTGGTAATTTATACTTTTTCCACATTGGCGTATACTGGTTTCAAGAGTCAGTTTCAATGAGTTTACAGCGCTATAATGTTTACGATATGCTTTACGCTCATAACTTTTTAAAACATTAATTTTTACCTAAGGTAACTTCTTTCTTTGTTTTCTTCTTAGATTACTATATTTATCACTATTTCAGAGTCGTTTAAGGTTTATATTCATATAAGAAATCTATTATGTTATGGAGGAAATCGTAATTAAACAGGATTATATCGCGCCCTTTGTATTTCGTGACGATGCTACACAAATGATTACGGACGAAACATGGGTCTTGCCTGAGTTCACTTTGCCTCCAGATGCTTCAACATTTCAGAACATGTTCTAGTAATACAGTGCGGAGGTGTGTGATAACGGTATTTTCTGTTCTCATAACTTAAATGATGTGTAGTTCCGAATTTCCTTTTTTACAATTTTTTACATGAGTTGTTTTTCAGGATCCAAAGTATATGTACATCTGCGAGAGCTTCCTGGGCTTGCTGAACGCCCTTTTGAGCTGGATTCCTGCTAACGACCTAGAACCGAAGGTGCAACTGATATTCCGTATCCTCTGCTCGTGCCTGAACTGCAACCTGATCTCGATTAAGAGCTCAGGCATCGATTGCATGTACCAGATTTTGTTGCGAAAGGTGGGTTGGTCGTTTAGCGCGAAGACACCGCAGTGCAGTTTTTATTTGTTTCGTTATCCCTTTTCATAGTGTCACTTTCTAGGGGTCAAAAAAGGAAGTGGAAGTGTTGTTCAACTTTTTCCATCTCGACTTCATGAACAACATTTTGACAGCCGTAGAGTAAGTTTTCATCTTGTTTACAGCACTCTTAATGGTCTTTCTTCACATACACTATGAGTTGCTCACCAGTCGAAGAGTCACTAAACGAACACGGTGGTCTCTACGATGCGCAGGGACCTCTGATAACGTTGTTTCCTTAGAATAGATGATGCGAGGGCTGACTTGATTTCGATTGTTCTGTTTTGCTGAAGTTATCGCAGTGTCAATTTATTCATGCTCTTTAAATACCAGCGATCATTGCAAATAATCCTGGCACTCACTACGCAGACGGGGTCCAACACTCTTACTGTTAACTGTAGGGAAGTTCATCTTCCATTGTTAGACTTAGACAAGTCTTTTAATTTTAAGGGTTACCTCAAATTTCGCCTTTTGCTTTTAGTTTTCTGGACAGACAGAATTATTTCTTGGTGGCGATAAATAATCCGCCAGTCGCGTTCTGACTGTTGCATCGGTTCATTTTGACCTCGGAAAATGTTCGCCGGTAGAATGTTGTACTTATTACTGAGATAGTGTCAGATTCCAGCCTCTGTGAGATAAATTGTGTTTTCTCTATGCTTGGTTGATAAATGAATGTCGCCTTGTGAGAAGTAAGCAGGAGAATGCACGCTATAGTGGTCGTCAAGGTATAAATATAAACTTAGAAAAAGAAACAATGAGGTACTTCTGATTGATTGCACGAAAACATGAATTTCCGCTGAACCATAATCTTCATTAATGGAAGACTAGCACAAATGATGTCCAGTCATGCACAGGGACACCGACATCCTAGCGGGTACAAACTCTTTTTTCTTTCTTTCTGTAGATGTTCCCCATTCTAATATGACTACGCACATCCAACATGGCCATGAATAACATGATGTCTGTTGTCAACACATTGCTCTCCATCTCTCGGTTTGTTGCACCGATGCACCGAGAGACAAATTCTTTGCTCAAAAGAATTTGCAGTGTAGAAATTTTTATGAGCTTCGGACTACAGCACTGCACTTCTAAGGTACAGCATCAAACTGCAGTTCACGCACCACAGTTCCCCCTCAACAGTGGTGTTCAGAAGGTTTTTAAGGTAATTATGCTAGCACTATTTTTATGAGAATGGATTGTACACGCCGTGCTTGCCTAAGCTACAGATATCGCATTCGTAAGCGGGTCTGTTCTTTCTTAAGATTAATTTTTGTCTAGATGAACTATCCTAGGTACAAAACGTAAGTCAAATATCCTCAAGAAATCAGTACACCAGCAGTTAGGAATTGAAAAAGGACAGAATTCAGGTTTTATAGCATTTACTTTCCATGAAATCACCAACTACTTTCATTGGTTCACATTTTAGGCATAGACGCCACTCTCTGCCCACGTGGTCAGAAATTAAGGTCAGGAAAAGACAAATCTGCAGCCTGCTCGATGTCATTTGCGAGTAAAATTGGACGCTGATCCGCGTAATCGTTTAAAAATCCTACTCCATGATTTGTTTTAGGCTGAGATTCTAA